CCCCCCCTGCCAGCAACAGGCTGCCCCCTCCCCTGAGCAACAGGCTGCGGAACAGCAGACAAAAGCAGCCTCTCCGCCCCTCCTCCCCCTATACATGCTGGGCTCCCTGGGCAAACAAAGACTCCACCAAAACAAACAAAGTGCTGGCCTCATTGTGTTAGCAAAAAAAGGACCCTCCTCCTAGAACCCTGGGTGGTGTGTGGAAATAAAGCTATTAGCTCAAAGCATGGTGCAGAGCTGTTTGGTATTTGATGAGTTACTCTTTTAGTCCTGAGTTTGTCACAGGGACAGAAATAGATGTGAAATCTTCTGAACAGGGGAACAGACAGCAAAACAAACATTAGAGGGGAGTTAACCTTTCCCTATGCTATCCAAAACTAAAAAAAATGTTTGGCTAGAGTTTCCCCTACAATATGTACCAGTTCCGACTTACATACAAATTCAACTTAAGAACAAACCTACAGTCCCTATCTTGTACGTAACCCGGGGACTGCCTGTATATTGTATGATAACTTTTTCAAACCTTTCTTATGAAGTTTGCTTTTTAGCCATTAAGTGACTAAAACAGGTCAGCCAGATCTTTTCTTGGCAGTTCTAAAACTATTGTACTTTTTTACTCCTAGGAATGCCAGAACCTCCTCAGCAGATACGCAAATGTGAATCTGGAATTAGTGACTCGAATCATCCGAGACGGAGGGCCCTGGGAAGATCCAGTATTACAAGCTGTTCTTAAAGCAAAGCCTGTATCTCAGGAGTTAGGTACTTGAATTAATATACATACATTTTTAAAAGACTTTAAGACATACATGTTTAAGTATTTTGAGATACTTTTGCATATTGGTGCTATACTAACCGAGAAAGTATGGTATCAGTGGTACTTGTGTTATACTTTTTGATATAATGTACTTGATGTTCTATATAGTAGATACTAATTATAAAAAATTGTTCACTGTTTGCTCACCCTGTGGGAAATGAGCTAGTTTCTTTGATGTATGTTGATGTCAGATTTATTAATTGAAGTAATTACATATAATATTATTAGAGCCAGCTATTTACCTGTCAACTCTAGAGTTGGAGAAGAGGGACAAGCTTTTCATTCCATTTCTATGAAGACACGACATCAATAAAATTGACATACTTATTTTATTAAAAAAATGGATTTGAAGTGATGTGAAAAGTTTCCACCTCTACTTTTATAAACTATATTTAACAAGTTACATTTTAAGAAGTCTTTAATCTCCTGGGGAATGTGGTCTACTAGCAGTGGTCTATGGCCTTTTTTGCCTCTTGCTTACTAGTTCAAAAGTATCAGAGGGGTAGCCATGTTAGTCTGAATCTGCAAAAGCGGCGAGGAGTCCTGTAGCACCTTATAGACTAACTGAAGTGTAGTCTATAAGGTGCCACAGGACTCCTCGCCGCTAGTTCAAAAGTGGCTCAGTATGATAGACTGAAGGATGTCACCATTTTTCTGTAGTTCACTAGAAACTGAACTACCCCCTCAAACATAGATACAGAACGAAGTAGAGACAGTTTAGAAAGATAATGAGGTACACAAGTCAAAGCTTCTCCACATCTGTGGACAAAAGGACTGGGTTCTTCAGAGGTGTCAATAGTGTATCTTTCATTATAGGTAAACTTGTATGAAAACAGATTGATGGAGTAGGGTGGAAATGTCATTGGACAGTCTTGTATCACACTGCAAGTTCGATCAGGATTTCTGGTTGAAGTGATCTGGTTGTAAATGAAATAATAGAAGTCCAAAGGAATCTGGCTTTTTATAGTATCAGCAGGATGCTGTGAGGGGGCAGAAAGCTCTAATACATCACATATAACACTTCAGTTTTGGACACTTCAGGCTGCCTGATGTAAATTCTTGGCCTTCAAGAAAAGCTCAGTCCTTTCCCGTTAAGAGCTATCTCTTTTATTTGTTTGAATAGTATCCAGCACCTCAGACAGTTAGCTATTATATTTAAGTTTTCACCAGCATGTTTTCCTGGTACCAGGTTGTTGATCTCTCACAGGATAAAATTAGCTGTAGCCTTTAAATTATTCTTTTACTTAAGAAGACTGCAGGCTGGATCTCCATTCATTCCTGTTGCTAAGTATTTTAGTGTGTTTTTTCTACTGGATTTCTGTCACCCATCTATCTTTGAGGTGGTAGCATGTGCTTATGCTGTTTACTTTAGGCAAATATCTCCTTGTTTAAAAAAAGAAAAAATATTTTATTGCTACTTAAATTTGGCTGCCTCTCAAGCCCAAATCTTCTGGAGACAGCTTTCCATGAGCATGCAAAGATTCTTGAGTCTCTAGTGTGAGCAATTCAGTACTGCAAAAATATTTGTTCTATATTTATCTCAGCAAGCTGGAAATCTTGATTTTAATAATCTATTAAAGTCCTGCTTTGAATTTGTATTTTCCCAAAGAGGTTGATGATTTTTTTTTTTCATTTGGCGATGGTTAAAACATATTTGCAGGGCTCGCCAAACCGCGGCGAGCCCTGCTCACCAAATCGCGCTGTCCGGTGATCTGCGCATGCACAGATCGCTCAAACCCGGCTCTTCCGGGTTGTAATCTACTTGCCATGGGCGAGTAGATTGCATTATTTGTTGAGCCCTGCATATCTGTAACTAAATATAGCCCTTCACACTAAATGTACATCTTTTTGCTAATCAGGAGAATTTTAGTTAAATAATTAGTTACCTTAATTTATCACTTCTTCAGATGCCTAATTTTTGCAGCTTTTTTCTTGTTACAGAATGGCAAGTCATTTATTTTTTATTTACTAAATTAACTTTTTTCTAGTGGTTTATATTAAGCTCCTGTTGGAAATTCAAGTTCAATTTAAAAATGGTGAGAAACAATACTAATATTTTTATGAAATAAAGGTATTAGATAAATATTACAAAGTTGATCAAACATTATTTGCATTTCAAACTGACATATTAATCAAAGGCAATATTATTTCTAGTTAATGAACTGATTGTTTCTGGTCATCATGTCCATCAAGATTTTAGAATCTAGTGATCTCACCAACACCTAAATTTTATTTATAGGTCTGAAAAGTAAAACAAACTTTCTTGCATTTTCAACTCTCATTTGGTCATTCTGCTCTCTACCACCTCCTCTCGTGAGGCAACCCTGGTTCTCTCTACCTTCCACGGGCCACTATGGAAGGCCGGGCTGTGGCCGCAACAGCCTTGGGTCCCTTCTCCCTCTCCTGCCACCTCAGCTTAGGCCCACATTGTCCCTTCTCTCCCTGCTATACCA